AAAGTTGGAAGGCCCATGTCAATTAGAAATGGCCACTTCCCACCATCACTTACCTGGCCTTGCCTCTGAGCCTGAGAGAAAGAAAGCAAACAATCAAGTGTCTACTCTTAAAAGGGCACTGACCCTATTGGATCAAAGCTACCCTGATGACCTCATTTACCATGAATTATCTCCTTATAAGCCCCGTCTCTAAACACAATTACATTGGGGGTTAGAATTTCAACAAATACATTTTGGGGTAAGATAAAATTCAGTCCATTAGCCACTGCCTTCAGGACCCCACTGACATTAATCATGTTTAAGTTTCAGGTTTTCCTTGGATACATGCCACTTAGAACCCTCCACTCTCTTACTGCCAGCTCCACTAGGAGCCCTGACCAAGTCCTTGTGTTTAAATGCCATCTTGGAAAACCCATTCCCCATCCAGCTGGGAATTTTCTTATTATGGTAGGTAGATTGGTTTTGCACCACAATATATTCTTTCTTGGTTTATTCACAATTCAAGTCGCTTCCTGTGGAAAATAAGAAAGGCTATTTCAAAAGATCATAGAATTTTACTACATTTTCATTCTATATTGGGATTTTGTCAAGTGGAGTTCTAGGTTGAAATGATTTTTTTTTCTTCAAAAATGTAGTGACTACATTCATTGTCACGTGGCTTCCGATGTTAGTATCCGGAAGTCACCTACTGCTGTGATTCTTTTCTTTCTTCCTTTTTCATGTTAGATTAGTTTTCTCCCTAGAAGCTTTTAAAGCCCTTAATAGCAATATCTTCAAATTTCTAACTAGTGCTTAATAGGGCTTGATTTGTACAGCAGAAGCTAACAGAGACAAGGAAAACATAGAAGAAAGCAACTGAATTTCTTTTATCATGAAAAATTTTACTGTCATAAAAAAGGAGAAGGCTAAATCCTGTCGTTTCTTTCTCAAAAATATATTATTTTGATGTAGAACTAGACTAATTATCTAATTATACTTTCCTCAATGTCTTATTTTTATCTACATATTACTTGCAGATGTCTTTTCCTTTATCTCCAGCATTTTTCTCTCTATATATTTTTTAAAAGATTGCATTGTTATATTTAAAACAGATTATTCTTATTTTCTTTTTAAATTTTTTTTATTCTTATTTTCTAAATATATTTTTTTGTATAGTATACTATTCTTATTCACTCAGGAAACATCTCATTTTATCTTCCTGATATATAACAAACAAGAATTTCCTTAAGTTTTTTTTTTTCATCCAATTTTACAATGTGTGTTTCCTACAAATTTACATTTTTTACACTTGTTTTGGTCTTCACTGTTATGTTTGTTTTTCTAAAATGTCAATCTGTTACTATATGTAAAATTCTATTTGGACATTCAATTATTTAATGTTGAGAGGTTGAATTCAGGATAAAATTTCATTCTTTTTGCTTTGTTTTCTTCTTTTCTTTTTTCCTCCACCTCCTTCTCACTGCTGCTCCTGCTCCTTCTCCTCCTCCTCTTCCTCCTCTTTCTTCTTCCCCCACACCCTTTTCATTCTTTTAAACACTGAATCTCTATAGTTTGCCCAGGCTGGTCTCCAACTCCTAGGCACACAGAGTCCTGCTGCCTCAGTCTGCTGAGTACCTGGTATTATAGTTACAGACCACCATACTTGGCAGGATATAGAGAATTTAAATGTCACTCTCCCCCCCCTTTTTTCCTGCCCAATATTTAATTGGTGCATCATAGTTGTACATAATGGTGGGATTTGCTGCTACATTTTCATACATGTACACAATATAACAATATAATTTGGACAATATCACTCCTTAGCACTTCCCCTTCTCTCCCTACCTCCCACCCTCTGGTCTGTTTTCTCTACTGATCTCCCTTTGATTTTCATAAGATATGCCTCACCTTTATTTCCCTTTCTCCTCTCTAGCTTCCACATTGGAGAAGACATGTGAAAGAAAACCTTGACCTTCTGAATTTGACTTATTTCACTTAACATAATGATCTCTATCTAGTTCCATCTATTTTCCTGCAAATGACGTGATTTCATTTCTCTTTATGGCTCAATAAAACTCCACTGTGTGCATATACCACATTTAAAAAAAAATCCATTCATCTATTGATGACACCTAGGCTGGATCCATCATTTGGCTGTTGTGAGTTGTGCTGCTCTGAACATGGGTATGCATGTATCACTGTGGTAAGATAATGTTAATCCTTCAGGATAAATACTGAGGCGTGGTAAATCTGCGTCATATAGTGGTCCAATGCCTAGTCTTTGGAGGAACCTCCATAATTTTTTTACGTACTGCTTGTACTGATTTCCAATCCCTCCAAAAATGTATAAGTGTTCCTTTTCTCCACATAGGCTCTAGCATTTTTATTGTTTGGATTTTTGATGTCTGCCACTCTGACTGGTGTGAGATGAGCATACTTAATCTTCAGTCTTCAATGAGCTAAAATCCTTAAAGGTTTTGCCTCAGTGGCTGTTATTTTGGGGGTCATTATTCTCTAAACTGAGCTCAGTGGGGGAGAGAGCATGTTGATCTCCTAGTTCCTTAAGTAGACTTTAAATATCTGTTTTCTCTATGGATTATACATACATATGCACACACACCTACACACTCACTCTATATGCCCATGCCTGGTGTTCCATGATAGAGTTAATATTTCAACTTCTTCAAAGAGTTAACTACCATCTTCTTGATTTTTTTGCAGCCATTTCCCAAAATGAACTTATGTTTGGGATAAGTTTTAAAAGGAGACTAGTGTGCTAGAATTGGATAATTTATTTTTGGAATTTCCTCAGAAGCAAAATTGTACAGTCAAATAAGCTCTGTTTTAATTCTCTTTCTGCTTATTCAGATTTGGGATGTTATTGCCTCTGACCATCTCTTTTTAAGTGACCTTCTCCCTGTCATTTCATATTTAATGATCAGAGCCATGACCTAAACTCCCTTTTGTCTTAGAATGATGCCCTCTTTTTGCTAAGTTTATATCCACATAATTTTGCTCTTTACCAATTCTATTTATGCAGGATATGAGCAAGGATGCAAGCCTTAACAGATCTGTCAGATTGCATAAGTCATATAAGCAGAGGTTGTAACTAAAGAATATTGCAGATTAAAGGAGAGAATGGGGGAAAATCTGGGAAAAAATGTTTCAGAATCAGAACCCAATTGTAGATTTTTTCCCCTCAAAATCTACAAGGTATCACTACTCCACCAAATCTCCTCTCTCTCTCTCTCTCTCTTTCACACACACACAAAGGTACACACATACTCTCTCACACACTCACACAAATAATCTTTAGTGATTTATATGGGGACTAAAATTTGGAGATGATTTTAAAGTGTTCCATGTAAAAGGCATTCCTAAGGTATATAAAAGTGCTAGATAAAAACATTCTGCATTGTGCCAAGCTTGGGATGAATCATATTAATTTTATGATGCAAACAAATTCACCCAAGTTCATCTGTTGATATCATCCTCATCACAAGACATGTGCATTACAGGGCCATCACTACCAAAAGTAAGTTCTTGACTATGTAACGATTCTCTCAATCCATCAGCTCTTTCTGATTTTGAAAATTTCAAATTATTTCATAGCCTAATTCCTGATGTTCACCTGTATTCATACACATTGGTGTCTTGGATGGGTTTTTGTATTAATTTTAAACATTGATTCAGTATTTTCATCAAAGGATAGTGCCATTCAAGGCACTGTTTATTATTCTGTATGTAATTTTTTCATTCACTCCAGGATATCTCAAACTAAATGGGAAAAGGATAAAACTGTAGGTTAAGCCTCACGAGACTTTCCTTTGATTGCCATTGACTATACTGTAAGATCGAGGTGATAAACCTTTATTATTCCAAAGAATCATATATCACACTAGCAATACGGCCAAGCAGAAAGTCCCTTACTTCCCGAAATGAATACAGTGATTCAGCAATAATTCAAGGGCATATTCCCTTTGTGAGAAGTGAGAAACCAACTGAAAGGCTCATACATGCTAGGAGATGCAAAACCAATTCTCAAGTCATTAAGAGGCTTGAGACACCTACTTGACAGAAAACCTGCTCCAAGTTCAATGCTGCATGATCAGGATGTGACTGTAGGTGCCATCTTCACCCAAAAAAGGAAAGAGGTTGGTTTGTGAATTCAACTTCTCAAGTTTTTTGAGGAGGCTTCACAAAGGACTAACTTCTGCTTGGAACTCTGAGTCCATGACATCCTGTCCATTTACGGGAGAAGAAAGACAGTGGCTTTGACTGGTGGCCATCATTAATATCTCATCCTGTTTAATTCTTCATTCATTTGAAGAATCCTGGCTATAAGCTTCCACTTAGAGAAAATGTTTTCTTGTGTTTGGTACTTCAGCTTTTCTAGGGCTTACCAAATAACTAGCACATGTCTCGCCTGTTGTAAATCTCTTGACAGGTCTGACATTCTAGAAACACAGGAGAGGCTACAACTGGTGCCTTGGACTGGAAGATAACATAGCTTCACACCCACATAATTCACACACTGAGAGGTCAAAAATTACAGCTTCTTTCTTTTCCCTAAGGAAAAAAAAAGTTGGTAGAAAATCTCAGCATGTCTGGCCAGGATGAATGGTGATCTTTCCTACAAGGTTAGTCTATGAAGACTGGGAAAAGTGCCTGCATCATCTATTGAGCAAACACCAACAAAATGTCAAAGAAAATATGAACCAGGCAAAGGTGTTCCAAACCAAGAAACAAGGTAAATCTCAAGAAATAGCCCTAACAAAATGAAATTATATGATTTAGGAAGCAGCAAATTTAAAATAATTCTTGACTGGCATTGTAGCCCGGTGGTAGAGCACTTGCCTAGCCTGGGTGAAGCCTGCATTCCATCCCTCGCACCACTCATACCCTTGCATGTGTTAGCACCCATAAACACATAAACACAAATTCAGAAACACATGCTCACCGAGGTGAAGAGGACAATGCATTAAAGAAGTAATGTTTAGCAGAGAAAGAAAACATTAAAGTATATAGAAATTCCTCATTTTATTGCACTTCACAGATATTGCATGTTTTACAAATGGAAGATCCATGCCAACCCAGCATGGAGCAGATATATGAGTGTCATTTTTTTCTAATAGCATGTGCTTGCTTCATAACTCTGAGTTACATTTTAGTAATTAACATAATATTTCAAGTTTTTTCATTAATAATATAATTGTCAGGATCTTCTATAACCAGTGATTTTTTTTATTTTACTATCACCACTATTTTGGGTAGCTGCAAACTCCATCCATATAAAACCGAGGAATACAGTGTGCATTTGGACTGCTCCACTCACTTGTTTTTTCTCTCACCTATTTCCCTATCCTAAGGCCTCCCTATCCCTGAGAAACAACCATATTAAAATTTAGCCAATTAGCAATCAAGCCTACAATGACCACTGAGTGTTCAAGTAATAGGAAGATTTTCATCTTTCTTGCTTCAAATAAAATGCTAGAAATTATGAAGCTTCATGAGAATTGCATGCCAAAAGCCAATGTAGACTTAAAACTGGGCCTCTTGCACTAACCAGTTAAGTTTTGAATGTCATGGAAAAACTTCTTGAAGGAAACTCAAAAGTGCAACTCCAGTGAACACACAAATAATTAGAAAGTAGTTATTATTACTGCTGGTATGGAGAAAGTTTTAGTAGTCCAAATAGGAGATGAAACTGTCAAGCCATCTGTGGGCTATGTATGAACAAAAAAAGGGCATTGTAGCCAGTGAATAGGAGGATCTGATGCCTGGGAACTTCCAGTGGACATTTCCTCTGGCCAAGACCACCCAGACACATGTGAGCCCTATTCAAGCTCTGCCTGGTCCCACACAGCATGGTAGATGGAGTGACCTGCTGCAGCCACACAGCCTCTCAGAGATGGGTAGAACCTGCCGAGATGCCCACCAACCTGTTGACTGCAAGACATCAGGAAGCAAGACTCCACCCCTGAAACCTTACTCCTGCCTTTGATGCTCCCCCTCTAAAGAAACAAATGGAGCCATTTTCCTGATTGTCCAGCTCCAGCTCCTGTGTGGGCTGAACCTATCAGGCACTGCATCCTTTCAAACTATCATTTTGACTCTTGTCTTTTGTTCTTCACTAGTTATTTCTGACTTACCTTCTCTGGGGGCTTATACCCTCCTGGGCAGGAAAAAAGGACCCCTGACAAGGTGCTGGCAGCCTAGTGATAAACCATAACTTTTCTTTAAACCAAATTCTAATCCAGAGTTAATGCTCTAACTTCCTTCAATTCTCTAAAGACTGAAAGAGAATGAGAAAATTTGCAGAAGAAAAGTTTAACAAAGATTAATTCCGGAGGTTTCAGAAAAACAACTGGTTTTCTAACGTGAAAGTGTAAAGTGAAAATACAAGTGCTGATGTACAAGTGGCAGCAAATAATCCAGAAAAATCTGGCCACAATAATTGATCCAATTGTCTACCCCAAACAACAGATTTTTAACGTAGGTGAAGCAGCTTCGTATTGGAATAAGATACCATCTAGGACTTTCATCACTAGGGAGAACTCATGCCTGGCTTCAGATATTCGAAGGACAGGCTGACTCTCTTTTTAGGGGCTGATGCAGCTGGTGACTTTAAGTCAGTCAATGATGATTTTATCATTCTGAAAATGCTGCGTCCCTTAAGCATCATGTTAAATCTACTCTTTCTGTGGTTTATAAATGGAACAACAAAGCCTGGATGAGGGTACATCTGTTTACTACATAGCTTACTGAAAAATGTAAGCCTCCTATTGAGACATAATGCTCAGGGAAAAAAATATTCAAAATATTATTGCTCATTAAAAATGCACCTGGTCACCCAAGAGCTCTGATGAAAATGTACAATGAGATTAATGTTTTCATGCTTGCTAATAAAACATCAATTCTATAGTTCATGGATCAAGGACTAAGTCTGACTCTCAAGTCTGATTATTTAATAAGTACACTTCATAAGGCTATAGTTTTCAAAATGATTTGTCTGATGGGCCGGAGTAAAATCATTTGAAAATCATCCTGAAAGGATTCTTTATTCCACACGCCATTGAGAGCATTCCTAATTCATCGGGGGAGGTGAAAATATCAACACCAACAGGAGTTTAGAAGTTGAGTGCAGGTCTCATCAATGACTTGGAGGGGTTCCAGGCTTCTGAAGGAAATAATATTGCAGATATGCTGAAAATAGTAACAGAAATAAATTAGAATTAGAACCTGAAGATGTGACTGAATTGCTGAAACCTCATGATAAAAAATAAATAGTTGATGAACTACTTCTTGTAGATGAGCAGAGAAAGCAGTTTCTTGAGATGGAATCTATTTCTGGTGTAGATGCTGTAGACATTGTTGGAAAGACAACAAAATCCTTAGACTATTACATATTGATAGTTTGAGAATGATGCAACAGGGTTTGAGAGGATGGACTGATTTTGAAAGAAGTTGTATGTGGGGTAAAATACTGTCAAGTTGCATTCCAGGCAACACAGAAGTTTCTCATGAAAGTAAGTGTCAATTGATGCAGCAAAATTTAGTGCTTTAGTTTAAGAAATTGCCCCAGCCACCCTAACCTTCCATTACTGCCGTCCTTGACTGTCAGCAGAAACCAATATCAAGGCAAGATGTTCAATCAGCAAGTAGAATATCAGGCTCTAAAGTTTCAGATAATTATGAGCATTTTAAGCAGTGATGTATTTTTTGTGTTTGTTTTGGCAGTACTAGGGATTAAACCCATGGCCTCGCAACCATAGGGAAGTTATGTCTGATTTATTCTACTGTCTTTTCTATTCCCATTTCTGCTCTGTTCATTTCATTCTCCTCTAATTTAATAAACTCTGAATCTTCCCCTCCCTTATTGTGAGTTGTCATCCACATATCAGAAAAAATATTCATCCTTTGTTTTTTGGGGGACTGGCTAATTTCAGCATGACATTCTCTAGTTCAACCCATTTACCAGTCCATAGGCCATAATTTCATTCTTCTTTAAGGCTGAGTAATATTCCATTGTGTATAAATACCATATCTTATTTATCCATTTTGTTGTAGGGCACCTAGGTTGGTTCCATAGCTTGGCTATTGTGAATTGAGCTGCTATAAACATTGATGTGGCTGTGTCACTACAGCATGCTGATTTTAAGTCCTTTGAATATAAACTGAGGAGTGGGATAACTAGGTCAAATGGTGATTCCATTCCAAGTTTTCTAAGTAATCTCAATACTGCTTTCCAGGGTGGTGGTTCCAAATTGCTGTCCCACCAACAATACATAAATAAACTTTCTCCACATCCTTGTCGACACTTATTGTTACTTGTATTCTTAATAACTGCCATTCTGACTGGTTGTCACAGGAGGCATCACAGTACCAGACCTTAAACTATACTACAGAGGTATAGTAACAAAAACAGCATGACATTGGCACAAAAACAAACATGAAGACCAATGGAACAGAAGACACAGAGACAGTCCCACATAAATACAGCTATTTCATACTAGACAAAAGTGCCACAAACATACATTGGTGAAAAGATAGCCTATTAAACAAATGGGACTGGGAAAACTGAAAATCTATATGTTATACAATGAATTGAACCTCTGTCTCTCACCCTGCACAAAACTCAACTCCAAGTGAATCAAGGACCTAGGCATTCCACTAGAGATTCTGTACCTACTAGAAGAAAAAGTAGGCTCACCTATCCACCATTTTGGTTTAGGAATGAACTTCCTCAATAAGACTACAAGAATGAAAGAAGTAAAATCAAGAATAAAAAAAAAGTGTGACATCAAACTAAAAAGCTTCTTCACAGTAAAAAGAAAAACTCAAGATCATTGACAGAGCCTACAAAATGGGAGAAATTCTACCACCAGCACCTCAGATAGTGCATTAATCTCTAGGATATACAAAGAACTAAAAACAAAAACAACAACAACAACAACAACAAACCTTTAACATCAAAAATAAATAAATAAAAACCCAACAGTAAATGGGCTAAGGAACTGAACAGGCACTTCACAGAAAAAAAAATACAAATGGTCAAAAAATACATGAAAAAAAAAAGTTCAACATCTCTAGCAATTAGAGAAATTAAAATCAAATGCACATGAATATTTTTTTCTGGACTAAACCACATGTTGTTTCACAAACATTTTTAAACACTTAGGAAGACTGAAACCATAATAAGCAGTTTTTTTCTGACAACTCATTAAAATTAGCAGAAGTGAATAATAGGAGGTAAACTGAAAAATTCATAAATAGATTAATATTAAACTACATATTTTCTAATAGTCATTGGGTCAAAGAAAAAATGAAAAATAAAATGGAAAATGCATTGAGACTAAGAAAAATAAAAATATGCCATGCCAACACTTACGAGATGCAGCCAAAGCAATAATGAGAGGGAAATTCATAGTGGTAAAAACCTCTGTTGAAAAGAAGAAAAGAGATCAAATAACCTAACTTTGCACCTCGAGGTGCAACTAGCCTAAATTTATCTGAATGAAGAAAATAACAAAGATTGGAGCAGAAAGAAATTAAATAGATAATTTTTTAAAAATGGTAGAGTTGGCTTTTTGAAAGAATAAACAAAATTAACAAACCCTTAGCTAAACCAAGGAGGAAGGGAAAAAGGACTGTGAGTGAGGGGACTGGGAAAAAAAACAGGGAGAGAGTAAAGGAGGGAGGGGAGTCAAATTTAAAATAAGAGATTTTTACAACTAAAAAAATAATGTGTCAATGAATCAAATAATCTATAAGAAATGGGTAAATTCCTAGAAACATTACAAGTAGAAAAATTAAATCATAAAAAAATAGAAAATGAATCGTTCTATGATTAGTATGATATTGAATCAGCAATGAAAAACTTTGTAACAAAGAAAATTACTGAACCAGATAGCTTTATTGGTAAAATGTCAGAATGGCTGTATCAAAACAAAAACAAAAACAAAACAACAACAAAAAAGTGCGTGCAAGGATGTGGAGAAAAGGGAATCTTTGCATACTGACAAATCTTTGACTAGGGACAATGCAAAATGTATAGTTTCTGTGGAAAAGTGTATGGACACTCCTTCCAGACAGGAAACAGTTACTACAAAACCTAACAATCTTACATCTGGACACTGTATCTAAAATAGTTGAAATCTGGATCTCAAAGAGATGTTAGCATCCCTGTGTTCATTGCCACACTATTTATAATAGCTAAAATGTAGAAACAGGCTAAATATCCACTGATGGACAGATTTTTAAAAATATGCTATATACATACAATAGAACAGTATTTGGCCTTTAAAAATAAGGAAATTATGCAATATGCAACAACATGAAACAATGAGTGAACCTTGATAACTCAGTCACAGAAAGACAAATCTGGCACCATCCCACTTTTCAACATACTTAAAATAGTAAAGAATAGTAAAAAGAATCATCAAGTGGAGTGGTGGTTACCAGGAACTTGGAGGAGGGAGGAGGAAATAGTAAGTTAATTATAATCAATGAGCATATAATCAGAGCAAAGCAAGATGCTTCAGAGATCTGTTGTACAACATTGTACACTGTTTACCCATAGGTGACAGTATTGTATGATACATGTAAAATTTATTAAGTGATACATCTTGTGTTCTTTCCTAAAAAAAAGAATCTCATAGAATCTTATTAATAACAGTTTCCCAATGGGACTTCAGAGTACTTAATTTTGAGTGAGCCTGCAAAACATGCATTTTTAAGCAACTAAGTAATTTGTCCATTACAAGTCACTCTGAGTGTTTTTT